GTGTGAGAATGAATACAGGAGGTGTGTTTGATATCTGCAAAATCCTCTTCTCTATCCTCAAGGAGTGTGCATAGTGTTTCCCTTGACCGTTTCCTGTTCTAATTTTACTATTTATACAAAAGCCGTAAGATGAACTGGCAAGGTAAATAATAACTCCCCCCGAGTGGCATCTCACACACTGATCTGGCTGTTATCTGAGATAAATTTCAGAGCACAAACCTGGTAAGCAGCAGAGAGAGAATTTTCTAATATGTAAAAAGCAGAAGTAAAATGTTAATGTTGAAAATGTCTCTGGTGGTAAGTGCCATCTACCTCTTAGTATGTTTCCTTCAGAACTAGGTCTCATTAATAGCACCTAGAAATAATAATTCCAAAATAGCCAGCATTTACTGAGGACACTCTAGGGCAGGCAGTTTTCTGAGCTTTGCTTAATACTCATGTTGACAGTGTACTTAGGAATAGTTACTCAGTAAATATTTGTCAAAGAGCTTAGAAAAACTATTAAAGATATTAAAGAAGAAAAAAATACAAATTATTATTCTCATGAATATATATTCAAAGAGACTTAGGAAGTAGTACCAAATTGAGTCCAACAATATATAAAAAATACCAATATCATAACCAAGTGGGATTTATCCAGGAATGCACAAGTTGGTTAACTGTTTGAAAACCATGCAAAGGAATTCACCATATTAACAGAATAAAAAAGAAGAACCATATGATCACTTCAATAGATGCAGAAAAAATTTTAACAGGATTTAATATCCTTTTGTAATCAAAAAAAGTAGCTCAGGAAATTAAGAATATAGGGACATCCTGTCCTCTACCTGATAAAGTACATTTACTGAGAAATCTACAGAGAGCATAATATTTACTTATGAAGACTGAATGCTTTCTTCCTCTTCCTAAGATTGGGAACAACGGCCCTGACTGGTGTGGCTCAGTTGGCTGGGCATCATCCTGCAGAACAAAGGGTCTGCCGATTCCATCCCCAGTCAAGGCACATGCCTGGGCTGCGGGCTTGGTCTCCAATGGGGCATGTATGAAAGACAACCAATCGATGTTTCTCTCTCACATCAATGTTTCTCTCCATATTTTTCTCCCTCCCTTCCCCTCTCTCTAAAAATAAATAAACAAAATCTTTTCTTTGTTTTTAAAGATCGGGAACAACATAGGGGTGCTCATCTCACCATTTTAATTCAATGTTATATTAGATGTCCTAGCCAAAGAAATAAGGCAAGGGAAAAAGTGCACTTTGGAAAGGAGGAAATAAAACTGTCTCTATTAGCAGATGACATGATTGCTACATTTAAGTTTATCTTAAGAAATCTAAAAACAACCACTAGAACTGTAAGTGAATTTAGCAAGGTCATAGGATATTAAGTAATGTACAAAGTCAATTATATTTCTCTGTTATAGCAGCAAACAACTGGTAAATGAAATAATTCCATTTATAATAGCATTAAAAACAATAAAATATTTAGAAATACATTTAACAAAAGATGTAGAAGAGGATCTCTGGCCAAAATGGAGGTGTAGGTAGACACATCTTGCCTCCTCACACAACCAAGAGAAGTGTAACAGGCCAGCCAGGGCCCCCCCCCACCCCCAAGGGTATTTTTTGGTGTGTCCAAGAAAAATATATTCTCCCCACCTTGGGCTGGCCGCCGTGGGGGATGGGAGCCTTGAGCAGGGCCATTGAGAAGTCGTTTTGGATGTCAATAGCAGGAGCGCTTCCTTCCTCATTTGCAAAGAGGATTATTTTGCATATCACCAAAGCTAATCAGGAAGGTTTGAAAGACTTAATACAGAATGGAACTGAGAGAGAAAGAGGAGAGACCGGGGCCTGCAGGAGAGAGAAAGGGACACAGACCCTGGGGAACAGTGTGAAGACCACACAGGAAGAAAGAGGGGAGAAAGGACTCTTGCTAGTGGGCCATGAGAAGGTGCCACATGGTTATGGATTCAGAGCTGGAGATCGCGGCGACATGGTAGATGGTGCTGAGACCCGCGAGAGGCCTGCCTAGCCGAGTCCCGGACTTCCGTTCTTTTTCTTCTGAAGGACGGTACCCTGACTGGCCTGACTGGCCTAACTGGGCAAAGCGGGGAAGGCTGGACAGTGTGTGTGCTGGTGATTGTTTTGAAGGTATTTTGAGGTTTAAGGGTGACATTTAGCCATTAATCAAACCTGTATAACTTTTGAATAAATAGTTCCTTTTCCTTCTCACCAAACTCTGCCATTCAGAGCCATAATTCCAAGGGCAGTGGGCAAAGGACCCACAGCCGAGGGGTCCCGGGTGAGGAGTGTGTCGTTGTTTCAGTAATAGCATCTGGGAAACCCCCCACCCACGAGTCCTTTTGTTTGGTAACAGAAGGACAACAACAAATTTAAAAACAAAAAATAACCAGAAATAGCCAGAAAATTGGACTGTATGGAAGTCTGACAGCCAAGGAGCTATAGAAGACACATTCATCCAGACCAGTAGGAGGGGTAGAGAAAGGAAGCCAGGGTGGAGGAGCCCTGGGGCAAGGCGGCAGCTGGAGGACTGGGCAGTCCCACATTTGCATGCTGCTAAATCTGAGGAACAGCTGGGGAGTGAAACAGGCCACGCAATCCAGGGTTCCAGTGCAGGAAAAGAAAGTCTCAAAACCTCTGGAGGTTAAAACCTTTGGGGATTGTGACACCAGGAGAAACTCCCAGCCTCACAGGAGAGTCCAATGAAGTGACCCACAGGATCCTAGAACATTCACAAACCCACCTACCTGAGCACTAAAAGGGCCCAATTTGCTTGTGGGTAGCAGGGGAAGTGACTGAAAGCCGGCGGAGAGCCGAGCAAACGACATTGTTCCCTCTTGGACCCTTCCCCCCACACAGTGTCACGACACAGCGACCTGGGTTGCCCCACCCTGCCCCTCCCAACATAACATGCGCACTCTGAAAAAGAAATATGGCCCAAATGAAAGAACAGATCAAAGTTCCAAAAACAGAACTAAGTGATGAACAGATAGCCAACCTATCAGATGCACAGTTCAAAACACTGGTGATCTGGATGCTCACTGAATTGGTTGAGTATGGTCACACAATGGATGGAAAAGTGAAGGCTACACAAAGTGAAATAAAGAAAAATATACAGGGAACCAACCGTAAAGGGAAGGAAACCAGGACTCAAATCAACAATTGGGAGCAGAAGGAAGAGATAAACTTTCAACCAGAACAGAATGAAGAAACAAGAATTCAAAAAAAATGAAGAGAGGCTTCGGAACCTCTGGGACAACTTGAGACATTCCAACATCCGAATCATAGGGGTGCCAGAAGGAGAAAAGGAAGGGCAAGAAGTTGAAAACTTATTTGAAGAAATAATGAAGGAGAACTTCCCCAATCTGGCCAAGGAACTAGAATTCCAGGAGATCCAGGAAGCTCAGAGAGTCCCAAAGAAGTTGGACCAAAGGAAGCACACACCAAGGCACATCACAATTGTTACCTAAGATTAAAGATAAGGAGAGAATCCTAAAAGCAGCAGGAGAAAAGGAAACAGTTCCCTACAAAGGAGTTCCCATAAGACTGTCAGCTGATTTCTCAAAGGAAACCTTGAAGGACGGGGGGGGGGGGGGGGGGGTGGGGGGGGGGCGGCTGGAAAGAAGTATTGAAAGTCATGAAAGACAAAGACCTATATCTAAGATTACTTTATCCAGCAAAGCTATCATTTAGAATGGAAGGGCAGATAAGTGCTTCCCAGATAAGGTAAAGTTGAAGGAATTCATCATCACCAAGCCTTTATTATATGAAATGTTAAAGAGACTTATCTAAGAAAAAGAAGATCAAAAACTATGAACAGTAAAATGACAACAAACTCACAACTATCAACAGCTGAACCTAAAAACAAAAACAAACACAAACTAAGGAAACAACTAGAGCAGGAACAGAATCACAGAAATGGAGATCAGAGGGGAGGGGGAGGGGGAAGAATGGGGGAAAAGGTGCGGGGAATACGCAGCATAAATAGTACATACAAAATAGACAGGGGGAGGTTAAGAATAGTGTAGGAAATGGAGAAGCCAAAGAACTTATATGTATGACCCATGGACATGAACTAAGGTTAGGAGGTAATGCTGGGGGAAGAAGAGGTGCAGGGCGGAGGGGAATAAAGGGGAGGAAAAAAAGAGACAATTGAAAATAGCATAATCAATAAAATACATATTAAAAAAAAAATGTAGAAGACCTCTATGTTGAAAGCTACGAATTAAAAAAAGATTCAAATAAATGTAGCAGTACGAGTACACAGTGTTAGTGGACTGTAAAACTTAAGGTCGTTAAGATATTTATTCCTTGTAAATTCTACAGAAATTAACAGGCTGATTTAAAAAAAAATAACCTTTTATTTTGGGATAATTTTACGTTTACAGAAAAATTGCAAATTGCAATTGCAATAGTAGAGTTCTTGTATACCTCTTACTCAGCTTCCCATATGTTAACATCTTACATATACTAGCATACGGTTGTCAAAACTAAGAAATCAAACTGGTACATTATTGTTACTTTATCTGAATCCAATCCAGGATATTACATTGCATTTAGTTGTGTCTCCTTAGTCTACTGGAGGCTTGTGACAATTGGCAATTTTTCAGTGTTTCATTTGTTTGTTTGTTTGTTTGTAATGAGTTTGACTGTTTTGAGGGATACTGGTCAGGTATTTTGTAGAATGTCCCTCAGTTTGGGTTTGCCTAATGTTTTTCTCATGTGTAGACAGGGATTATGGGTTTTGGGGAAGCATGCCATAGAGATGAAGTGTCCTCCTCATCACGCACCAGGGGGTACATGCTATCAACATGATTTATCTCTGGTTATGTAACCTGGATCACTTGGTTTAACTAGCTGTGTTCTTTTTCTATTTACAATGAAAAGTCACAATTTTGCTATTGAGGCCACTCCTTGTGCATTAACTCATATAGCCTCTTCTGAGCTAATCAAAGGGTGTAAGGATGCCCACCAGGGCACTGCACAAAATATGAAATACTTCACAAATTTGCATGTCATCCTTGTGCAGGGGCCATGCTAATCTTTTCTGTAGAGTTTCAATTTTAGTATATATGCTGCCAAAGCGAGCACTCAATAAGCTGATTTTAAAATTTATGTGGAAATACAAAGGGTCTAGAATAGCAGAAACAATTCTGAAAAGTAAGAGCAAAGCTGAAGGATTTACATTACCTGACTTCAAGCTTTACTTCAATTTCATACTAGTAAGTGTGAAACTGTCATAAGGATAGACAAATCACTGGAACAGAAGAGAAAGTTCAGAAAAAGACTCACATGGTCAATCATTTTTAAACAAAGACATAAAAACAATTCAATGGGGAATTGTGTTTTCATCAAATGGTGTTGGAACAACTGGGTATCCACTTGGAAACCTGCCTAATGTTGCCAAGTTTGTGAGTGGTAAGGACAGGGTTCTAAGTACACTTTCTGGCTAATGTGTTATAAACTGTGAATATGAGTTAATAATCACTGCCTATGGGCCACAATATTGTTCTGAATCAAATTCAGTTTGAGGCCATACTTTTCAAAAATGTTAATGTCATGAAAGAAAAATAAAGGCTGGTGAAATGTACCTTATTAAAGAAGACTAAGGACAGAGGACACATAAATAAATGCATTGTGTAATTCTGGACTGAATCCTTGGTCACACAGACACACCAAAATTCACAAATAACATTATTATAATAATTGGAAAATGATAGGGATAGCATGTTAGATAATAGTTTTGTATAAATGTTAAATTCCCTGAACTTAAAAAATCATACTGGGGTTATGTAAGAGGATTTTCTTATTCTTAGGAGATATAGAATTATTTCAAGGTAAAGGGTCATGATGACTGCAAGTTTTTCTGAAATGGTTTAACATTATTAACAACAATAATAAACATATATCAAAGAAATCAAATATGGAAAAGTATTAACAAGTGGTGAACTAAATTAGAATTATATAGGAGCTCATTGTATTATTCTTTCCACTTACCTGTTTGAAATTCTATTGTACAACAGAAATTTAAATATTAATTAAAAAACACTTTAAGTTGCTCCTAATTCCACTTACCATGACGATGACAAATTCAGTCTCAGTCATTTATGGGGGTGTTCTCCTCTCCCCCAGGGTTTTACATGGTACAAAACATTCAGGAAGGGCCCTCTAGCTTTCAGCCCGCATTGGTCACTGAAAGATCTATTGTATTGCAGAGCTGACAAGCCTCCATGCCAGGGCTCCAGCACATCTGCTGGCTGGGAGCCCTGGCACAAAGGGTCCAATCTCCCTGCACGCACCACTTAGTCCTTCCCCTCCAAGGTCCTGGCACCTGTTCAGGTCCCTTTGAGGAAGCTTGTGGCATCATTACTACTGGAGGAACCCTACCTACTTTTCTCTCAGAAAACCCGCTTTTGCTTTTGTGATATTTCATATATATTACCTCCTCCTCCTGTTGCTGAGAGGTTTTTCCAGGCTATCCTCTTAGGGTTTTTTAAAGTACAATTGGATTCAATTTCCTAGAGGTGGAGGTAAAAAAAGAAATGCTATGTAATTTTACTAATTCATTGCATGAGCGATAAAGACACATGTAATATGCTTCAAAAAAAGTTCAGTGTTTTTTTTTTCGTGTCTTAAAACAATGGTTTAGTATTTCTCAGGATTCTGTGGGTTGACTGAGCGGTTGTGCTGATTTAGCCTTACTCACTCATATGTTTGCATTCAGCTGACAAGTTGATGAAAGGGTGGGCTCAGGTGAGACAGCATTTAAATGGCTGGCTCCCTAATTCCAGGCTTCTTCGGGGCATCATGATCTTGAGGTAATGTCCTAAAATGGTGGAGATGGAAACTTCAAGGTGTCTTGAGGTCTAGACTTTGTAACTTGTGCAGCACCACTCAGGCTACCAATCCATTGGGGAAAGTAATGAGGCAAGCCAAGAGTCCAGTTGAGGAAGAGACTCCATGTCTGGAAGATAGGGGTGCTGCCCTTTTAACTTAGTCTCTTCAGGTGACTCATACACACCAGGGGTAAGTGTTACTCAACAAATATGTGTTCAGACCTGTTTCTCATTGCATTTGGTACCAATCTCTATTTCTAGCACTTAAACTTATACACTATAGATGTAGATATTTTTATTTCAGGGAGCTTTTTTGTTATGTCACTTTTCTGTCCCTAGAGCTTGTCACAGTACTGTGACTCAGTGGTTCCATTGCCTTGTACTGTAAGTACTTACAGTACTACTGGAGCTCAGAGTGGTAGGAGAGTTTGTGAAAAAGGAATAATTTGAGTAGGAGCTTGAAAGGTGAGTAGGCATGGGAAGGAAGAGCGTATCATGAGTGGATGGGCCTGGTATGACCACAAGTGTCAGTTTATTACCAGCAGGCTTAGGAGTCGGTCGCTGGTGCACAAGGCTTATAAAAGGGAATGGTGTAAACTATTGGTCACAGAAGTTGGGAATGAATTGTGGAGAGCCTGGGAGAGTGATTTGCTGAAAATATTTCACCAGGATCAATTTGGCAGTTGTAATGGAGTTAAAAATGATTATCTCATAACACTGCACATTAACCAAACTTGGAATTCCAAAATGCTGGGGACCTCTAGCCAGTGGCAGTTGAGGCAATCTTTATTTTAGAACATGTAGAAATGAAAATAGTGTAGATATGTTCAGGTCACCAAAGAATTCACTTAAAAATCAATCTGCCCTCCAGGTTTATTGAGATATAATTGACATGTAACAAAATCAGATTCTTAGTAGCAGCAGAAACTTGGGCTACTCCACACTCTACCCCTTATTCCTGTCCCAAGGCTTCAGGGTAGCCACTGCACCTTTTCTAACACCGCCTTTTCATTTATGTATTGATTACTATGGGCCAAGAGCTCTGCAGATAGACTCTCTTAATCAGACACATTTCCCTATAACAGTGATTTTCAACCATTTCATCTCATGACACACATAAACTAATTACTAAAATTCTGTAGCACGCCAAAAAAAATACTATGTATTTTTTGTCAACCTGACAAAAACAAATTGGTATAATTTTGATTCATTCACACCAGAAGGCTGTTGTGCTGCCATTTTTAAAAACTTGGCAAGCTAAGGGAAAAGAGCTCAGTGCCTGAATAAATACTCAACTCTTGCATGTTTTAAAAATTCTTGTGGCACACTGGTTGAAAATCGGTGCTCTATAAGGTAGAAGTTTTCATGCCCATTTTACTGGTGAGGAAACTGATCCTTAGGAGCGATTCGCCAGGTCTCATGAAAAGCAAAGATGTAAACCTGGGGCTAGAATACAGGCCGCAGAGGCGGTGGGGAAAATGAGCTTAGCGCGACTCAGGAGAGATCCACGGCGAAATGAAGAGAAAGGGGGAAATGGAGACTCGGCCCCTTCTTTCAGGGCTCTGCAGGACTACAAACCAGGGAAGGGGTAACCTCAACCCTGTGACACCTGTCAACACGTCTCCACTGGGCGATTTTGCAAAATCACGGTTTCTAATTGGCGAGACTGGAGGCGATTCTGATTGGTTAGTTGGACCTCGAACCAGGCCCACGTACCGAGGAACAGAAGAGGAACAGGCGGGACTTGAAACGGAATCCCTCTCCTCATTGGTAAAAAGAAAACGAACCAGGAACTATTCGGAAGCATGATTGGCTGTTGCCAGGATCCCTCCAACGGCCTTATGGGTCCTGGTTACGGAAGCCGGGGAAGACTGAGAGCAAAACCTGCCTCAAGGAATTAGCCGCGAAAAGCTGGGTAGCGGTGTAGAAGAGGTATTTTAGGCCTAATGGCGACTGTGGGAGCAAGCAGCAGCGATGGGAAGGGGCAAGGGGTGGAGACCCCTGTCACCTATTACCGTTTGGAGGAGGTAGCGAAGCGCAGCACCGCGAAGGAGACATGGCTGGTGATCCACGGGCGAGTCTACGATGTCACCCGCTTCCTTAACGAGGTGGGGACGCGGAGGTGGGCAGTCCCTTGGAGCAGCTAAGTGAGAGGTGGTCGGGTCCGGAAAGGCTGCCAGGGGTGTATGTTAGGAGGGAAATGACGTCTGGCTGAAGGCGATCAAGCGTACGAAAGGGGCCACAGCTCTCTTGAGAGGGAAACTGAGGTGGGGTAGGGGTAGGGGGTTTTATATGCCTGCGTTTCCAGCCAGCACTATATTCTGGTGCTTTAAGTAATATCGTGTGTTAATTATGTATTGAGCATTTACTGTGTGCTAGGCTGAATACTAAGCCATTGTGATTTCCATTTTAGAGAAAGGACAACTGAGTCACAGAGAGACTGAGGACTCTCAAGATCGCACACTTAACATTTCAGTCATTCCCACCTAATTTCGAAGGGCTGCAAACCTCTGCTCTTTCCACTCTGCCTTCTGAAAAAAAAAATGCCTTTTTTTTTTCATTTTCTTGATAAGAAACTGAGATTTTCCCTCTCCCCCGTTATGCTGCGTTTACTTTTTTCTCATTTGAGTTCACCTTGAGGCCAAAGGGTTGTAAACTAACCTTTCTTTGACCATTGACTTAGATCTTGCTATCCTTTAAATCTTTAAGGTGTTCTGTTAGATTTCATTACATAACTTCTCTTTGAGACCATGGTACAACTGAGTGATTTTTTTTTTTTTATTTAAGGAAACAGGAGAGACGTTTAATTTGTTTAAACTAACTTTACTGAGGTGTAATTTGCATTCAATAAAGTGTGCTCACTAAAACGTACAGTTTAATGAATTTTGACAATGTATTCATTCATGTGATCACAACCTCAATTAAGAACATTTCCACTGCTCTAAAAAGCTCCCTCTTGTTCATTTGCAGTCATTCTTTCCACCCCTAATCCTTGAGGCTTTGACATGTTTATATATAAATATTTATTATATATTATACATTGGCTTGTACCATTTTATTTTGAGTAACAATGATAGATTAATAACCTTGTGGTTAATTCCTTGGAAATATTTATATAATGTAACCTTATTGTAACTGAGAAAAAAAGTTCCTTTCTATTCTTTCTCTGAAGCAAATACTCATATACAAATACATAATAAATATAAAAATATTTTTTTCTATTAATTTGAGGTCTAGGGTAGAATTCTCTACATCCTGATTCATAAATCTATAAAAACTTTTAAAATGCAACATTTCCCAAAAAGGACATTATTTTTAATAAATCTTCCTAGTGGCCAATAAATTAACATCATAAAGTTTAGTAAATTACTGCATTTGTACAGTGTATGGCATTTTATGTTTTTAAAAGTACTTTCTGTTATTTCATCCTCAAAATAACTCGTTGAGAGTGCCTTGGATAGTAGTGATCCCTTTTTAATAAAGGCTACAAGAAACAGGTTCAGAGAGATTTTGGTCATACAGTTGGTTAGCGGAAGAGTCTGTTTAGGTCGATCTTGTCTACGTGGATTTCTTCAAATTTAGATTTCTCTTGTCTACATGGTAGTACTTCAGAATTATAGCCTTAGCTGTGTCCTTTGGTGAATGCCTCATAAATAAGTTTCCGTTGTGGGTTGCATCATGTTAAAGCATAATTCATAATGGGTAGGTAATAGTGGTTTTTTCTGGTAGTTTTATTGTCCCCAGATTTCTAGGAATATTCAGTTCTTATAGGGAACATTAATTCAGTCTTGAGTCATGGTGTATCCTGGTGTGCTACATGCTGATGGAGTCAGAGACATCACAGATGTGACAAGGCTTCTCTCAAAACTTGAGTTGCAGATCTTTACTTAACAGTTAGCTCTTTTACTTGCCTGTTCCTGTAGTTTCTGCCAGTTTTCTTGTTCATTACTTGTCTATTCATTCATTCACTCTCATTCAACATATTTATTATGTGTGTACTATGTGCTAGGTATTGTTCTAGGTGCTGAAGTTACCACGATGGTAATTAAACACATGCCCTAATGGAGATTACAAACTACGGGAAGTTGACAATAATTAGAGTAAAAAACTAAAATACATGCTATGTTAAGTAGTGGTAAGTGCTAAGAGGAGGAATAAAGGAGAGAAGAGGACTGTGTATGTATATGGGATGGAGCTATGAGGATGATGTGTTGAAATTTTTGGAATGCTGGCCAGAGATTGCTTCATAAAGATGCCTTGAGTAAAGGCCAGAAGCTAAGGGAGCTAGCCATGTGGATAGCTGCAGGAAAAACATTGTTGGCAGAGGGAGCAAGTTCAAAGGCCTTGAGGTAGGAATGTGTGCCGTGTGCGTGAGAAGCTGTAGAAGGTCATAGTGGCTGTATAGCAGTAGATGAGGTCATCATGGTCAAGGGGTAGCAGATCAAGTTCTAAAACAAACTTTGCAGGTTTTAGGAAGGATTTTGACTTTCATTTTGAGAAGGGAAACCACAGTAGAGCAAAAGAGTGACATAAAGTGACTTAATGGTTTAAAAGTACCACTCTGATTGCACTGTTGAGAAGAAATTGGAGGAGGGCAAGGACAGAATTGAGGAACCCAGTGTAGTAAGGAGGCTGGGCAAGATATGGTGTGGCTTGGTCCTGGGTGGTGAGAAGTGTCAGATTATTGGATGTGTTGTGATGGTGGAGCCAATAGGATTTAATGATGCATAGGATTTAAGGAGTGAGAGAAAAAGAGTCAGGGATGACACCAAAGATTCTGGCTTGCAGATCTGGAAGAATAGGGTTTCTATTAGCTGGGAAAGACTTGAGGAATTTGTTTTACAGCCAACTTCTTTCATATTTTAAATATAATTAGGAAGAATTGGGTTTGTGATGTAGGGAAATTAGAACAGGTACCAGTTTTCTGAAACTCAGGTTAATTTTTTTAATTTTTTAATAAGTCATATAGTATTCAATGAAAAGCCTTCCCTTCTGCCTAAAGTTGAATACTCTCATTTGTATATCTTTCCAGAGTTTTGTATATATAAGCAAAAGTAAACATAGTCCCTCCCACTGTTTTTTTACACAGAAGGTAGTATACTGTACACACTGGTCTGTGCCTTGCTTGTTTACTTAACTGTACATAGAGACAGAGAGAGGGAGGAGAGACAGACCGACAGACAGACATCGATGTGAGAGAGAAACATCAAGCATCAACTGGTTGCCTTCCATTTGCACCCTGACTGGGGATCAAACCTGCAACCTAGGTATGTGCCCTGACCAGGAATTGAACCTGCGATCTTTTGGTGTATGGGACAATGCTTTAACTAAGCCATCCGGCCAGGGCTAAAATGTACAGATTTTATATGTAGAGTTCATGGAGTTTTGACAAAAGTCTCACCTGTGTAATCATTATTACAATTAATACACAACATTTCTACAACATTTGCCCTCATACAACCATTGATTTGATTTCTTACACTAGAAAACTATATATACTCTTTTGTGTCTGGCATCTTTTGCTTAATAGATCTGTAAAATTTTTTTATCTAGTAATCTATTGATCAGCATTTGGGTTGTTTCCTTTTTTTTTTTTTTTTTTTTGCTATTATGAATAAAGCTGCTATGAACTTTCATGTACAAATTTTTGTTTGGATATATATTTTCATTACTCCTAGGTAAATATTTAGGTGTGAGATTACTGGGTCTTTTTTTTTTTTTTTTTAATTTTTTAAACAACTGCTAGACCTTTCCCCAAAATATCTATGTCATTTTACACTCCCACCAGCAATACATGAATTTTCCAGTTTCTCCACACCATCATTGACACATGGTATTTGTCATTTTACTTTTAGCCATTCTAGTGATGCTAGTGGGTGTGTACTGGCATATAATTAGGGTTTTCACTTGCATTTTGCTGATGACTAATAATGTTAAGTATCTTCATGTGCTGATTGGCCATTTGTATGTCTTTCTGTTAGGTATCTGTTCAGTCTTGCCCATTTTTTAATTGGGTTGTTTGTTTTCTTGTTGACTTCAAAGTGTTCTTCGTATATTCTGGATTCAAGTCCTTTCAGATACATGTATTGCAAATATATTCTTCCAGTCTTTATTTTGCCTTTTCATTTTCTGAATAGTATCTTTTGAAGAGAATTTTAGTAAATTATATGTATGAACTAGAATTCCAGCCCTGGCTGGGTAGCTCAGTTAATTTGAGCATTGTCCCAATATGCCATGGTTGCAGGTTCAAGCCCTGGTCAAGGCACATGTAGGAGGCAACCAGTGGAAGCATGGATAAGTGGAACAACAAATTGGTGTTTCATTTTCTCCATCTCTCCCTCCCCCCTTCTTCCTCCCTCCTTCCCTTTCTCTCTCCCTTCATCTCTTTCTCTTAAAAAAAAAATAAATAAATAAAATTCTAAAGGCTGGGTGCCAGCATTAGAGTTTATGTGTGGTTCAGTTTCCTTCTTTACCACTTAATAGTTGTGTAACCTTGAGCAAATAAGCTCTATAAAGGCCCCACCCATCTATTATATGGAGATACTACTACCTGCTGCACAGGGTTGTTGTTGGGATAGCTAATTTAATTAATGCATATAAAGACTTATCATGGTACCTGGTATAAAGAGCTCAGTACTGCTGGCTGGGTAGTTTAATTGGTTGGAGTGTTGTCCCGATACACCAAGGTTGCGGGTTCGATCCCCGGTCAGATCACATACAACAATCAACCAATGAATGCATCAATAAGTGGAACAAAAAAATCAATAAATTGATGTTTTTCTCTTTCCTTTCCTCTCTCTAAAATAAATAAGTTTAAAAAACAAAAACCAAAAAAACTCACTTAAAAACAAGTTCAGTAAATGGTGGTGGTTATTTTTATTATTAATAAAATATATTTTCCTGCAGCATCTTTTGAGTGCTTTACTAAGTAGCAGATGCTGTGAAGATTTAAAGGGTGAATTAGCTGCCTTGGATTTGCAGGGAGGGTGAGATCTGTGCACAAGTAATTGTCATGCAAGATAGAGTGTGGACTTGCCTGCAGAAAGACTGGGAATGTGGGCTTTTGGTGCAGCCCTAGAATAACCCTGAAAATGTCAGTTTGACTAAT